AAGAAATACTTTAATAAACTATAACTATATACATTTTTATGATTTTTCATAAAATAGGCTAGTCAATTATTTTCTCAAAGATGTCTATAACAAAGACTGTCGAAATTTATATTGTTTTAGCAAAAATCCTTATTGTCAATAATTACTAAAATCCTTGCTCTTTACCAAAAACTAATGAAAAATCTAAATTAATTCTACAGATTAACATTTTTGAACACTGCCAAATACAGCTACCTCAACCTGTACACATTCAACCTGCCACTTTAATAGGTTGGTCTAACTATTTAAATTTAAATTTTACACTTTACATTTCTAATATTTGAAATTTCCTAATTTGTCAAGAGGCTGTTTGAAAAGTAATATTCAATTGATAATATTCAATAAAACAAAGTCAAAAATTCTCAGCATATATACTGAAATGTTTTCTCCCTTATTTTTTCAAATAAAAACCTTTCCGTGTCTCTTTACGCAGTAAGCAAATGTATATTCTGAAAACCTTCCATGAAACAGAAACTAAAGATGTATCAGCTTTTAGGTAGAAATTATCCATTCAGGAAGTATAAGGGAATAGTAACTAAATAGTATTTTATCTTCTAAGATGCTGGAATCCAGACAAGAGGTAAGCAAACCTTTCCTGTAAAAGGCCAGACAGTAAATATTTTCTGCTTTCCAGGCCAAAGGGTCTTTATTACAAATACTCAACTTTGCCGGTTTGTAGCAGGAAAGCAGCTGTAGACAATAGGTAAATGAATGAGTGTGGATGGGTTCTAATGAAACTTTACTTAAAAACAGATAGGTGGACTGCGCCATAGCTGGTAGACTCCTGTTCTAGAGGACCAATTTCTGCTCACCAATGTTTTACCACCGTATCCCTGGTACCTAGACCAGTGCCTGGCAAACAAAGACGCTAAATAACATTTAGTGAGTACTCACTATATGCCAGACAATGATCTAAGAACTCTGCATGCATTTCAGTTTACTCTAACCACTTTAATGTGGTAGGTATTACAGTGATTCTATTTTACAAACTGAGAAAACAGAAGCATGAAAATATTAAGTAACCTGCATAAAGTCACGTGTTCTAAGCCAGGAGTCAAACTCAGGCAAGTCGGACTAAAGAACTCTTATTAACCACACTGTTATATCCCCCTTTATGTGCTTATTAAATATTTATTAGACTTATTAATGAATAATGCCAAACGTTCAAATTTACTTACAATCAAAATGTGATTCCAACAGTAGATACTCTTTTCTTAAGAAGCATATAATATTTTAAAAATAGCTTTCTTATCAACAAGAGGAGAGAATACTTATTAAAACCAAGAGACTGAAAGACCTAAGTGAGCTGGGCCTCTGGAGAGGAGCAAGACTCAGTGGACCCATGGTAACTCACAGGATAGGGCCCAGAAGAAGGAATATCCTGACTTCCCTCTTCTTTCTTACTGTGATGTCCTGCCTGTCAAGTCTCCCCAAGAGCAGAACTCAACCAGATGTAGGAGGGTAAGCAGGTGCTTTGATGTGGCATATACATAAGTTAAATTAAAATTCACCTAAAGCTGCCTCTCTACCTAGGGAACTGCAACCTAACTTAATATGTAAATAGGCTGCAGTCTAAGAATATATTCTTTTAACAAGTAGCTGAGTCTCAGCTAATCACAGGTTGCCAACTAATTAGACCATGTCCAAATAGGACAAATGTCAAGCTGTAATCAATTGAGCTGTTTCTGTATATAAGTTATTTTTCTGTCTATAAATATTGCCTGCCCATGTTGCTGGGTGGAGTTCTCTGAACCTCTCCTGAATGCTGCCTAATTTAATGACTCCCTCTTTGCTCAAATAAATTCTGCTGAATTGAAAAAAAAAAAAAATAGCTTTCTTGTCCAGGCATGGTGGCTCACACCTGTAATCCCAACACTTTGGGAGATGGGAAGATTGCTTGAGGCCAGGAGTTTGAGACCAGCCTGGGCAACATATCAAGACCTCACCTCTACAAAGAGCTAAAAAACAATTAGCCAGGTATGGTGGTATACACCTGTAGTCCCAGCTACTGGGGCTGAGGCAGGAAGATCGCTTAAGCCCAAAAGTTTGAGGCTGTAGTGAGCTATGACCATGCCTATACTCCGGCCCAGGCAACAGATTGAGACCTTGTCTCTTACACAACTTTAAAAAAAAAAAAAAAAAGCTTTCTTAGCCAAGAGAAAAATTCAATTTAAATGTCTGTGAAAATCTATTGGGAAAAAAAATAAAATCATACCACCTGTGATCTTCCCATCTCCCAAAATAAAATTTCATCTCTGGAAAGTTTTAAAAATTAGTGTTAAAAAGACTAATTGTGGTTTTTAAAAAAATGTCTTCTTTTGCATTTTTGAGCCAAAGGTCACACCTAAAAGAAGATTTCTCTTGGTTTAAGATTTTAAACATCTTAAGCACCCAAGCCAACTAAGACTGTATCAGTTAACTGCTTTGACAACCCAGAGTCAGAATAGTAACAACAAAGAAACTAAAGTAGCTAAATCCTTTTTGGAAACCAGTTGGTCACAAAAATCAAATCACACACAAATACACATAATTTGCGTGAAGTCTTGAACATTATTTTACTAATGAGAATATAAGGATCTTTTGTGGACTCAGGAAACCTTTAAGTCAGATAACGCAGATGATGTCAGAATTAAAATTAATATCAGAAGATATTAAGCCATATATAAATGTGAAAATTAACTTTAAGAAATATTTTGAGACATCAAAAAGAGTAACTATTACCAATGCAGCCAGAAATTTGGAATTTTCTACTACGACAGAAAAAACAGCTATTGTGTTACATTAAAGAACATCTACTATGTGTCTAAGCATATTACTTGCAGTCTAATTTTTAAATATAATTTATAAGCAAAATGGAATTTCTGATTTCTGGGGTTAGTTTCTGCTTCCATTCATTAGAAATAATAGAAAGTCAAGGACTTTCCCAACAGTAAAATGTGAAACGTTTTTGTTTAAAAAAAAGAAAAAAAAGCCTGAGTCTTGCTATCCTTTATACTTTTTATGCTTTCTATAATTAAAAAAAACTTCTAAGAAAAGGGAATATAATGACCACCCACAATTTTAAATTTGAAGTGCTATGAGTACACAGATTTCAATTAAAACCCCTAATTTTCTATTAGTCTTACGATGTAGGGGTGTCTTCAAGTTTTCATTAACTTTTTTCTTGTTAGCCACCTGTCTTTTATTCTCAAAAGTTTTGTTAAGTTTGCTTATTTGATTCTGCTCCCTTCCACAGAACTAACTTGTAGTCTTTAGCAATCTTTGTCAGTGGGTCTGACCTTTTAGTGGGTCTGACCTTCGAGTATGTTGACGCCCTTCATTTACTGATAGCATCAAGCTTTCCCTCCTTTTGTTAACTATTATCCACACTAGTCTAAGAACTGATGGCCCTTTTTCTTAGCATCTGTTACCTAGAGAATTGAGTCATACTGTGAAGGGTTTTATTCAAAGCAAAGCACAAAACTCTTGGCATTTCTTTTATTAGAATAAATATCTCAGTATGGGGATTATTTCTATAGTTATTCCTATACATATGACATATGTATCATGTAGCTGGTGTTCACAGAATATAAACTTTCACCATTTCCCCATCTTCCACCTGGGAATAAGGAAGAAACTATTTCAAGAGGCATTGATCTGTAAAGGAGAATCACATAATAAATATGACTATCATGCTGGATGTACAATAATCACAATATTTGGCTATTTTGCATGCAATCAATATATTATCTTGATACCTAAACTATGTCCATTCTTGGTATAAAAGCAGGTATTGTTGATAAGGTTAACACAACAGCCAATGACATCACCAGTTGTAAAAGTTGGTCCATAAGGTTGTCCAGTTCCAGAAGAACAAAATGAATGTCCATCATCCCCATGGTAACCATATGAATGTTTATCCCAACCTAAAGAGAAAATTCCAGCATATTTATAATGAAAAGTAAGGTTCCTCTGCACTAGATTTATTTGCTAAGATTACAATATATCAGAATAGTACAACAAATAGTACAAAAGATAAAATTCCCAAATGTATGTACATTTAAATTCTCAATAATTACATAATTTCTTCTATATGAAAATACTGTTTACAACATTAAGGAAAATAAATTAGCTACACAAAACACTAAAACAAGTATTAAACAGAAAGAACTCATACCAGGAAAAAAAAAACATAAATGCAACATCCACAGCAGGATACATTTTTCATGCATATTTTTTTTTTTTATACTTTTTTTAGTTGTCCAGCTAATTTCTATTTTTAGTAGAGACGGGTCTCGTTCTTGCTTAGGCTGGTCTCGAACTCCTGAGCTCAATGATCCACCTGCCTTGACCTTCCAGAGTGCTAGGATAACAGGCATGAGCCACTGTGCCTGGCCATGCATATTTCTTTTTGCTAATATACCAAAAGAATTTTGCTTGGATTTGAAGAAATACACACAAAGTTTCAAGTAAAACTGATTACATACTATTAAATCACCACAAGCTTTTCAAGGCCATGATCTAAATATAAAAGTCAAACAATTTGTGGTCTCTCCACAACACCAAACTACAGATATGTGTAAATCGTTATTAAGAGATTTTTACTTTACCAGTTACTTCTATAAGGAGAATTTTCAAATAATAAAAACCTCATTTAAATCCTCTTTCAAGTATAATTTTAAGCAAAAAGGTAGAATGAAAGTATATTAATTTAATACGTCTGATTACAATTAGATGGAAACTACATTAGCTTGTTTTGTTTCTTTGTCTTATGGTACTTCATGTAGCTTTATATTGGCAATTTTGCTTTCTATTTCAAATTTCCCCCAAAATAATTTTTAACATTAGCAAACACAATACCAGAAAACAAAATCCAAGAATGACTTCCTTCAGAAAAATGGTATCGGGAAACATGTCTGCCATCTCAATTCATACCATCTTTAGTTTGCTTTTAATGTTAGTCTCTATTCCCAGAATATTAAACAACTGAAGATGGGTTAAAGGCCAGACACGTGATGGGCAGCAAGCAGAACCAGCCAGTAGCTGATATTTTTATGACTATGTACTTAAAGTTAACAATATCAAAAACAACAACAAAAAAGCATGGTATATATGCTATGTAAGTTTTGCTAAATAGCATAAAATTTATATTTATTAAAAACCACTCGCTGGGCATGGTGGCTCACGCCTGTAATCCTAGCTCTCTGGGAGGCCGAGGCAGGCGGATTGTTTGAGCTCAGGAGTTCGAAACCAGCCTGAGCAAGAGCGGGACCTCGTCTCTACTAAAAATAGAAAGAAATTAATCAGACAACTAAAAATATATAGAAAAAATTAGCCGGACATGGTGGCGCATGCCTGTAGTCCCAGCTACTCGGGAGGCTGAGGCAGAAGGATTGCTTGAGCCCAGGAGTTTGAGGTTGCTATGAGCTAGGATGACGCCATGGCACTCTAGCCCGGGCAACACAGTGAGACTTTGTTTCAAAAAAAAAAAAAAAAACAAAAAAAACAAAAAAAAAACCACTCAACTTCCACTGAAAACTCATGATATAGGTGACAAAGACATGTAAATCAATATTTTTAACTATTTCAATTTGTTACTTGAGAATTTTAACCAGAAAGTGCTAGCCATGAGACAATAATATAATACTATAATTCAATTACAAGTGTACCTGGTAGTCTATTCATGTTCACACCTTGAGCAGAAAGACCAATTCCCATGTAACTGTTGGGAAAAAAAGAAGAAAAGCAGGTTATTGTAGTGATATATGAATAAATTACCAAACACTCTCAAACAATATCAGAACCAAGCCGAAGTTGAAACTCCTAATGTAGCCACAAAAATGTTATTACAGTTCATTACATAGCAACAAAGGGTGATATTAAGCAGAAATAAAACCAAGATTCACAGTAAATTCCTATAGTAATAATTCATATATACATCCAAAGTATTAGTAATACCTATGCACTCTGACATCTATAAAAATCTTTCTAACTTATTTACAGATAATTATTTAGGATTAAGACTTCTCACAAAAAGTATACAGGGACTGCAGAAGAAAAAAGAAATGTTAAATAAGAAACAAATGTGTTTCCAAAAGGACACAGTGAAAATTCGGAGCACCAAAAACAAAAGGGAAACATGTATTCATATTTGGAAGAAATGTCAAATTCACATCAAAGCATCTAAAATACATAATAAAATTATCCCAAGGTGCACATTTGTTAGTGTAATTATATAATGTTTTTCTAAAACTGGGTAAATTAATAAAATATACCTAAACAGGACTCAATTATCCACTTATAAAATGACAACAAAATAATTTCCACAAAAGAAATATACAAGGAAAAATAACTACTGAGGTATGCGATTAATTTTCAAAAGGTTATAAAAACCATTAATAATAAAACCTGATAAAGACAGTTCAAAAAAGAAGCAAGCAGAAAGCAACACACTTATAGGTATGGATGCAAACAGAAAAACTAAATAAAAAAGCAAACCAAATGCAGTTTGTTAAAAGGCTAATTGAATATGATTGTATCATGATTTAAAATAGCATGTGATAAAAGTTCAGCCACCGATTCTAATAAAAAAACTCCAGGAAATTACTTAAATATGACACTTTTTTCCAAATCTAATGTAGCATGTAATATAAGATATTGAAAAGTGAAAAACTAAAGCCATTTTCATTAAAATAGGAAGAGATGCCTATAATTGTTAAATATTGTTGTAGAGACTTCAGAAAATTTAATAAAGAAAATTAAATAACCAGCATAAACATGAAAAGATACAAAATTACCTTTATTTGTAGTTGGTATGATTATTTACATAGAAAATCACAGAATCTACCAAATCCCTTTAGAATTAATTAGGTATTTTGGCAAAGTTGCTGGATATAACAAAAACATTTTAACCTCTCTTCTAGCAACAGCCACACAGAGAAAGGAAGTGGTGTGTATAAACATACCAGTCACAATAACTATGAAACCATACAACAGGAATAAAGTTATCAAGTAAGGCTCAAAAACAATACACTAAAAGCTGTAAATAAATAAATGCAGCATACATCTGGATAACTCGACAGTATAAAAATGGCAATCTTTCTAAAATAATATGTACACGTAATGTGTTTCAAGACAGACTCCAAATTTATTAAATTGGACAAAATGATTTTGAAGTTCATATGTAAAGACAAGAATTTTGACCAAGACAAAATTTTTAAAAGGAAAAATAAGAGGTTTCCCTACTAGATATTAAAACTCATAGTTAACTAGATTCACAAGAGCAATATTATTAATAAGAGCACGTTGACTCAGATGAGCATGATTAAAACATTAAGAAACAATATTTAAAAGCTAGTCAAGAAGGTTCATTAAGTTTGTATTGGGTTATTAAGTATAAAATGTCCAATTTCCTTAAGTACTAAGTTAGACAATTGATATCTCTGACATTTCACCTTGACACTTCTTGTTTTATTTTTATTATGAAGGTACATCCTCAGTCTTGAATTCAAACACATAGTTTTGGCTTGTGATTATCTTTCACATTTTTTTTTAGAGAAATTTTTGTGAAACCATGGATAAATCAAAACTTTGTGTTTTTTTCAAATATGAGTTTTGTCATGGAACCAATGCAGCACAGACAGCTTGAAATATCAACAAAGTGCTGAGAGGGATGTGGCTAATGAACACAGTACACTGATGGTTTGGGAAGTTCCGTTCTGGTGATTTTAATCTTGAAAATGAGCCACATGGGCAACCTGAGACCAAGGTGGATAATGATGAACTGAAAGCTGTAGTGGAACCAAATCCATCTCAACCTACCCATGAATTAGCAGCAAGATTTGACGTTACTATTCCAACAATACTGGACCATTTGAAAGAAATCAGCAAGGTAAAGAAGCTGTATAGATGGGTTATGCATGAATTCGACGAGCGTCACAAGAGAAATCGTCTCGAAGCTTGCCTTTCTTTGCTGTCATGACGTAAAGGCAAAGCATTTCTACATCGTATTATTACGTGTGATGAATAATGGATTCTTTTTGACAACTGCAAGCATCTGGCACGATGGCTAGTTAAAGATGAAGTGCCAAAACACAGTCCAAAACCAAATATTCATGAAAAAAAGCTAATGGTGTCTGTTGGTCCAGTAGTGGTATTATCCACTACAGCTTCATGAAACGTGGTCAGTCGATTACAGCGGATGTCTACTGCAACCAACCGGATGAAATCATGAGGATGCTTTCGATTAAGCAGCCGAGATTGGCGAGATTGGTCAATACAGACAGGCCAATCCTCTGCAAGACAACGCTCAACCATGTGTTGCACAAACAACACTGCTCAACTACAGAGGCTGGACTTGGAAACTCTTTGTCATCCACCGTATTCGCCAGACCTTGCACCAACTGACTACCACTTCTTCCAGGCTTCGGACCATTTCTTTCAAGGAAAAATATTCAATTCTCTAAAAGCTGTGGAAATCGCCTTTTGAGATTTCATTGCCACTCTCTCTCCAGGCTTCTTTGCTGCTGGTATAAATAAGCTACCATTAAGAAAGCAAAACTGTGTCCATAGTTTAGGCACATACTTTGATTAATTGTACTGTTTCTTGTTTGAGCAATAATAAAGTATGCTTTTGATTCAAAATCAGACATTTCATATTCAATGACCTAATATTTTGATTCAGCTTCTTTGCTATGCATACAACATAAAGTGTAAGTATTACCAAAAAAGATTTAACAAGGCACAAGAAGACAATTTTTAAGAAGAAACACAAAGCTGTGAGTGGGCATACAACTATGGGCCTGCAAAACTCTGGGTCTATGAGCACTCACTGAAGTTCCCCCTTCTCTTGGGAAATAAAGACTAAAAATGCTCCACAAGAGGAACATTAGCCATGCTTACTGCTTAAAGCCAAAGGTTAGAACAGGCTTTTCCCCTTGAAGGGAGGCTAAGAACCTAACACCACCTGTTGCCTGGCCTAGAGCTTATCTGACATGTGGCCTAGTTAAGGGGAAAAAGAGAGCAGAAGCCCTTGACAAGGATGTGGAACCAGTTATTGAATGGATCAGTGACTAAATGTGTAATACTCCCAATATCATCCTAAAGTAAGAATCTGGAAACTCCAATACAAATCTGGTTTTGGACTGGGGCCAATGAGTTAAAAAATATAAACTGTAAGAAAGAGAAAGTAGCACAGAAAGACACAGATGAACAAAATGAAGAAAAATGTTAAACTTCCCAATTAAAATGAGGCTGCAAAGACAAAATTCCAAAATATAAGATCTACAAAATAAACAACTGGAACATGAACTCATTGTAGATGACATTGCTGAATGGACAGTATGATTTCAAAAAAAACATAAAAATGAGTATATTTAGGAAAATACTTTAAAAAGAAAGGAATCACAATCATTAAGAAATAAGGACAGTGGAGCACCAGTACTTGCAGAGATAATATAGCTAATAATTTTCCTCAATTCAAAAATGTTGTTGAATTGCAAATGCACACTGCATACTAATTAAGATGAAAATTAAGTCATACTTAAGACACACTGTAGAGTTTCAACGACAATCTTAAAAGCTACCAGAAAGCCGGGCGCGGTGGCTCA